GGAACCAGGACAAACATTTACTCTGAATCAGGGCTTGCCATGGCTCAGACACACAAGTGCCTGATTGTCCTGGCAGGTCCATTGGGCACCTGGAAGGCCTCAGGGGCAGCAGCGTGTTTGTGCCACTCTCTGCGAAGAGGCCTGACAGAGCGGGGAGTGGACCCGAAGGAGCAATTCCCACACTTGGACGGACCCACGTAGAGTAGGCAGGGATGGGGCTGGGGGCTTCTACCTGTGTCCTCCGGGGTGCTGAGCAGGAGCTTAGGTCTCAGAAAACACAAACCTTGCTTGTTTGGGACAGATGTTGACAGGGCAGGGGAGGTGGAGGGTGGAGCTGTTGCTCAAACCGAAGAGGAGAGGATGCCTCAGTCCCTAGGCCAGCACTAGTGGAACATGGGTTTTGGAGTCAGGAAGACCCAGACCCAAAGTCTACATTTTCTGTTTACTGGCTCTGTGGCCTTGTGCAGTTAGTTCATCCAGTGTGTCTTTGCCTCAGGTTCCTGATCTGTAAAATGGGGGTGCTGACATCCACCTCCCAGGGCAACTGTGAGAGGAAGACAAACACAAGCACAGATCTGTCTGTGATGTACAAGCTGCCAAAAGAATGGTGGAGGAAGCAAATGTTCCCAGTGTGCCTGGAGGCCACGGAGATGGATTGTGGAGGGCAACACAAAGGGAAATGGCATTCTCTGGCCATTTGCATTTCTCTTGTTGCAGCTATAGACCCCAGGGGTCATGCTGGGGAAGCCGGGCATAATGGAATCCAGACCACACTGGGGGAGCTTAGTGGGAAGGGGGAGGGCAGGACCACAAAAGAGGGGAGATTGAGGGTAGATGTTTGGGCGGGTTGAACTGCACCACGGGGTGTGAGTGCGCGCGCCTGCGGTCCCGGTCGGGGCGGGGGCGGCCGTGAGGGGTCGGGCGGGGGGAGGGGAATCTGGCGCGAAGGAGACAACCCCCCGCCCACCCTTCCGCGGAATCGCATGCGCACTGGGGACTTGGTGGAAAGGGCTTTTGCAGGGAAAGCCGACGGGCTGGAGGGGTCCGCGCATGCGCAGGCTGCCCAGCCGCGGGGCGCGGGGGGTGCGCGGAGAAAAGGGGCGGGGTGGTCGGAGCTGCTGTGCTGGCAGCAGCAGGCGAGGGCGCGGCTGCGGGGTCACTGGTGCTGAGGACCGACGCCATTGGAGCCTCAGGGAAGGTAAGGGTCCAGCCCCAGACAGGACTGAGAGAGGGCGAGTGGAACCCGGCACGCCACCCCCTCCCACGCCCCGGAGCTGAACAAAGCCCAAGCACTCAGAACTCGAATCCCATTAGATCCGTGATAGCAGCCCCATCCACCCCAGGCTCCCGGATCTGAGCCCTGCTGACAGCGAAGATCCAAACCGTTTTAGCAGACTCGTGTGGTCCAGGCTAAGCTGCCTTAGACCCAGGCCCCATCCCCACCCAACCACTCCTAGGTCACTCCCACCCAGATGACCGCTTTGCCCGCTCTTGTAATTCCAGTCCTGGGTTTTGAGACCTGCGACGCTCCGACTGGAGCCTCACCTAGTCCGAGGCCCCCGCCCCATCCACCCTTAGCGCTCCCATGTGAGCCCAACCTGACGGGAATCCCCTGAATCCCCCCACCCACCCGGACCTAGCCAAAAGGTCTCCCTAGGATTCAGTTTCCCAGGGCTTTCGGCGGGCCCCGTGTGTCTGAGCCCTCACATCTCATCTGCTCTCCCTTCATCCTGGCTTCCTGCTCCAGCCCTTAATTTCGGGCCCTTTGTTTCTCCCTTTCTCGATGCATCCATCCCCTTTGGGGCTCTTCAGACCAAGCCCGCCAATCCACCCCTCTATTCAAATCGAGCCGCTGGGATGGGGAGCCAGCCGGACCACGACTCCCCTTTCAGTGCGGGGTGTCTCCTCCGACCTCTTCCATCCTTCTCCTAGGGCTCTGTCTCTGACAGAATCTACCCCAGCAGACCTCACTCCCCTCACCCCTACTGGCCACCCCCGCCACCTCCCGAGTGCTCCAGCC